TCTGTGTGTTGCACTCATGTGCCCTGAGACATTGTGTGTTGCACTCACATGCCCGAGTCTTGGACAAAAGCTCCAGGATGAGCAGAGTGGGTCCACAAGGGAAAATTCTTTCCACTGAAATCTAGATCCCTGAATCCCAAACAACGAGATGCCAGTTTGCAAGTTGGTCAAACAACATTCCAGATCTAAGCTCGATTTTGTTCACAGCGTGTATGGAAGAAAGCAACAGACTTACCGGAGTAAGGGATGTTCACAAAATAGAGTTCCATGAAGGGAGCAGATGTCTAAGACTTTCTTCTCCTTAGCCCCACCCCCTCCAGCTTAGAACACTTTAGTAAGGGTCTGTTTTTAATGCAGGAGGGATAGAAAACTCAAACATGTTGTAGGAGGTGTTCTTGGCTAGGAGCACCCACTGTATATAACCTGGATTAAAAGCTGTGTCCCTGATTCCTCAGGGCTTGGTTCCAATGTCCTGCTTGGCTGGAAGCATGACAAGCCAGGCATTAGAGATTTTAAGAGAGGAAGATAACAAGATTCCAGAGAGCCCTGAGAATCAGATACAGAGCCACCATCCTGACAGGGTGTGGGGATACAGCAGTAGGCTTTGTGGCTGGCTAGAGTCTCTTGAATGGGGATCTACTGAGGAGTCCTTATTTCTTGGGTTGTTCAGGAGCAAGTGGCACACAGAGAGGACTCTGAAGTCCCTTCTATACTCACTCAGTAACCCTTTCTTCCCATCAGACCAAAGAGACCACTCCACTTTGGGAAGGAAACACTTCTTATCTCAGGCCACCAGGATGGCAATCAGACACATGAAGGGCACTTGGCTGTAGTCAGAGTCCCGTCTGATTTGTAGGCGGTCTTAAGAAACCTTCCCAGAAGTAGCTTCAGAGGAAGATACAGGAGGAATGATTTCTCAAGATAGAGAGGCAAAGGAGAATCCATTTACTACTGTAAAGGGGCTGAAAGGAGGCATGGCTAGAGAGAATTGGTAACTCACATCCTCTGAGGACAGGGAATGTTTTTCTAGTTAGAAAGATAATCTAGGATTTAAACTTAATGAAAACTCATAGGCTAGTACCCCTGGTAAAGGAAATATAGCTAATAAATATGGCTTCATGTGAGATCAATGAGGGGTACCCCAAAGGCCACAGTAGACTGCAAGCTGAGCGAGTGTTATTTGAAAGACTCCCAAGTCTGGATACTTCACATCTCAGCCCAGACTCCAGGAAGGGATAGGATATGGGCTGACTCCTTGAAAAGTTGTCTGAGTTATAGCAGTCACATGCTAAGGGGTGAAGCAGAGGCCAAGAAGGTACTAACAGACAAGTGTTGGCCAGTGATGCACTATCTCCTGTGGCCTGGCCAGGAAAGTGCTGAATCCCACCTCTACGGCTCCTGGATGAGGTCCCTCACTAGTCTGGTTCCCACTTCCCATGCTCCAGCCAAGGCCAGGAATGGGCCGAGCACATCCAATGACACTCAGCACCTTCAATAAGCACGAGAAGAAACGTAGTGTCTGCCTAAGGCAAGTGGTCCCTGCAGGTCACAGCGCTTCCACTGTGCCCAGAAGCATTGGCTCCTTTCTGCTTGTGTCATGGGCTCCCAGGACACTCAGACCTTGAGAAAGATGCCAAATTTCCAAAAGGTTTAGAGGGTTGGGAGCAACTCACCATTGAGACAGCTGCTAAGGCATGCTTGGCTCACTCACGCCTTAGTTTACTCTGGCAGGAGTCAAATCAATGAAACCCCTTACACAAGTGTGTCCTTCCCCAATCTTTGAACCAGATCTAGACCTGGCTGATAACTGATGACCTCAGGGCTCCTTGTCTCTCTTGAGTATACCCAATGATCATGTGTCCAAGTGCATCATTCACTGACCAAACCATGTGAGATAAGACAGAAAAAAAAATCTCAACCCTTAGGAGCTGCCTGGATGGCCAAGGACAAGGACATCCCCACGAAGACCTTCTTTGTTCCCGTGTTATTTTCTGCAATGACAAACAATTAGGTGCTCCTCAAACTAATGAGCAACAGGTGCTCTGGGGAAGCCACCAAGGCCTAGGTCTCCACAAGGATAGCACAAAGGAGTCACCAAAAATAAGCTCCAGGGATAAGAGCCTCCTGACATCCTGCACTTGGCACTGGAGCCTGCCAGACTCAGGAAAAATAATTGGCAGAGTGGCCGTCCTGAAAGTGACTGCCAGGCTTCCAATGGTGCCAGCTGAGAGGGGCTGGCGTGTGGTTGGTGGAAGCTGCTGCAAAGGCAGCTCCGTTTTCAAAACACTCAGGTAGAGCTGGAATTCCATCACTGTCTTAATACTGTACGCTCTGCCCATATACGTGGGCCTGTTAGGAACAGGGATCTTATGGAGAATCTTTTTGGGGGGTTGCTAACTTCTCTTTATGTTTTCAAGTGTCTGGACAAGGCAATACTTTACTCCTGGTCAAGAGGGTGAGCTCTGAAAAGCAAAACACAGAGAGACAGGAGGGGCCCTTGGTGTTCATTCTCATGCAGGTGCTGACTGTATCTTGTCCCACTGTCTGGAGTCTGACCTCAGGGGGAGTGGGGGCTGTCTTAAAGGAAGGGATGCACAGGAAATGAACTGGGGAGGGGGTCAGTCATTTTAATCAAGAATGTAGCAGGGCTTTTGTGTGAACAAAGGTTGTATGGGTGTGTGTGTGGAATGAAAACATTTGTATAAAACTTTTACAAGTTGGGGAAGATAAAAAAAAATCTGAATTCCTTATCATAAAACACAAGTAATATAGTATTTGATAGGAAGGACTCAGAGTAAATGTTTCTTACAAATCCCTCCTCTCATTTTTGAGCATTCTTTTTCTTCACACTAATTAAGATGGCACTACTTTTCTAGCCTATCTTGTAGCAAGAAACTGCACTAGGCAGGGGTACCTGTTTAGTAATGGTTGACTCAGCGCACCTGAGTTTGGCCTCCAGTACAAGGAATTCATTATTCCATGGATTTCATTAGCATGGGTTAAGGTGAGCCTGCCTCCGGGGGTGGTCCCTCGGCCAGGACATTGGAACCAATCTCCACCCCGGCCAGAGATTTACTCTCTTGACCAGGATGAGTTTTCTCTTAACAGGCCTTCATTGCTACTTTTACATTCTGCCTCCCTAAAGTTTGAGGTAACCGTGGAGTCATCGAGGAACCAGTTAGAGATCAGAGTCCCCCCAAACACTTGCAGAATCATTGGCTTCCAGCAAGGGTAGAGCTAGCGAGAGTCCCAAGGACATTTCTGGCTTTTAGTCAAGAAAGAAACTGGTCACTGTTCTCTGGAGAATTTCCTAACTTCTGGATAAAGAGATCATGGCTTTCAATTTTTTAAACTTAAAAGTTATGTGAGCTTCTATTTGTCTTTATAGTTTTATAATTTTAATTTTTGAGAATTTCATACATATAAACAATGAAATACCCTTCCAGCTCTCCCATATTCCCCCAACACATCTCCCTCCCAACTTCATGTTTTTTATTTATACACCAGAGTCCAGTCAGTACTGCCTACACGTGTAGGAGCGTGGGTCCACCCACTGGAACATGGAAAACTTACCAATGCTCACACTCTTAAACAAGAATAATTCTCCTTCTCCTGGCAGCTATTAACTGCTGACAGTTCCTTGGTGAGGCAAGGGGCCTGTGAACCATCTGCCTGGTAATTGCCTGTTCTTGTGCAGGTGAGGACAGCTGCGTGAGTTCGTCGTGCTACTGCCCTGTCATGTCCACAAGAGGGTAGGTCACAGCACTCCTCCTTCTCTGACTCTCAAATTCACTCTTCCTCCCTTCTACAGTGTTCCTTAAGCTGTGATGGTGGGGGCGGTGGTGGTGGTGGTGGTGGAGGTGGTGGAGGTGGTGGAGGTGGTGGAGGTGGTGGAGGTGGTGGAGGTGGTGGAGGTGGTGGTCATGGTGGTGGTGGTGGTTGTAGTCATGGTGGTGGTGGTGGTTGTGGAGGTGGTGGTCATGATGGTGGTGTTGGAGGTGGTGGGGTGGTGGTGGAGGTAGTGGAGGTGGTGGTGGAAGTGGAGGTGGTGGTTGGTGGTGGTGGTGGTGGTGGTGGTGGAGGTGGTGTTGGGGTGGTCATGGTGGTGAGGGTGATCATGATGGTGAGGGTGGTCATGGTGGTGGGGTGATCATGGTGGTGAGGGTAGTCATGGTGGTGGGGTGATCATGGTGGTGAGGGTGGTCATGGTAGTGGAGGTGGTGGTGGTTATGGGGTTGTTCTAGATGCCTTGTTTAGGGCTGAGCTCTATGTTTCTTATTCTCAATGGCTTCCAATTTCTACTTCGATTCCCAACACACTATTGCAAAGTAGCATGTTTGGGGAAGGGAGTGTCTGGTTTTGGTGTGGTTATCTATCACCTCTGCCTCTCAGACTTCACTGTTTTCTTTGTACCCAATTATCTCGAATAGTCTGGGTTTCTGGAGCCATAGCACCAAGTCCGCCATGGAGGTGAGGAGGGGGATGGGTAGTGTGCATGTATGTTCTGTGGACCACAGTCTGGCAGCGGAGTGCATGTCCTCAACATATCCCAAACTCTAGACTGCATGTACTACAGGCTGAGTAATGGCTCAGGGATATGGCAGAGAAGTGGTCAGATGTGGGCTGAAAAGTGAGTAAAAGCCTGTAAACAGAAAAGTCCTCACCTGCAAACAGAATACTGATTCCAGCAAGAACACTCAGAGTCATGTACGTGTATGTGCGCATATGCATGCTCATGTGTATAAATACACACTTCTCTGCGTTCACGTGTACACACATGGGTGTCTGTATATGCACGCACATGCACACATACACTGACATGGGAGGGGTGATATGTTTGTAATTTCTCTCTTGGGAGACAGTCTGAATTCAAAGTGATTTTAACAGATCCTTTCATGGTTCCTGAAGACAAGTTCAGTTAGATCAAATCAGAGGTAGGAATACAGAGGGAAAGAGGCATGGGTGGGGAAGGTTAAGAAAAGGAACAAAACTGCACTTACCCTACAACCACAATTATAAAATCTAGTAAATTCCAACCATTGCGGAGGTAAGCGTTGGGGTGAAAGAGAAGTCCATAGGCAATGACTTTTAAAAATGCTTCCACGGTAAAAATTATGAGAAAGAGATATTCCACTCGTTCCTAGGAAACAAAAATAGAAAAGAGAGAAAAGCCATTAAGTTCAGAGATTTGGGAAGTGCAGACTTGCAGAGCTCACAGGTGCCCTCACACTCAGCACAAGGCTTCAGTCTGCCATGGACTGTGTGCTCAGTGTGGTCCCAACAAAGCACATGACCTGTACCCTCACAGTCACAGGTATCATCACCTGTAAAAGTACACTGTGCTGTTCACTCGGCGATGAAATGGCCTAGTGATATGCTTCCCAGAATGCAATGCTGTGGCCAGCAATGGTGAGCACGGGTGGTAGAGGGCTGGACATGCAGTCTACAAGCTAAAACTCCATAGCCCACTCCAACACCAGAGCTCCAGTTCATGGAGAGGAAAGAATTGTGTTGTTCTTGTTTTCAAACACCACCGTTGTTAAAATGTAAATTAAGGCAATACAAACATTCACACTCTTCCTTCCACCCCCAAAGTCTCTTTTAACCAGATAACAGTTTGTTGTGCCTTCTAAAGTGAGAACTCATATAGGCTTGATCTCCAGGACAATAATCCAGGATAGCTGGGGCTGCTGAGAAGCAGGTGAGCAGAACCCTGGCAATACTGTGCCATGATTCCGTTAACAAGCCCCAAGGACAGCAGGCTGGGTTTGGTGAGGGGACTAGCTGACATCCAAAATAAATACAAAACACTACCCCAAAGAAAATGAGGGTGTCAACAGTAGCCCAGAGACAATATGTGGATCCAGACATTTGAGATGTCTCTTGTGGGAAGATAACTCTCTGTCTAAAGACACACTTTAGGTGAGCAGAAGAAACCAACCTATGATGAGTTGAGCAGGTACTAGGTGGTGAATATGAAAGACTGCTTTTTTTCTCAAGGGGCAGAACTGCCTTCTCTCCTCTATTACCTAGAAAGAAGATTGGAGCTTAGCATGCAACTCTTACCTAAACACACTCAACTGACCCGGCTCCTGGTGCTCACATCTTTTCCTCCTTAGCTACTGCTTCCCTCTCACTACCCTAGGAGAGCCTTGGTAGCACTACCTGGTGCAAACTGCTTGGGTGCCTTCATGCTCCACTGCTCATCTCTGCAGGATCTCAGGCTGCCTTTTCCTGGAGCTATAAAACACCAGGGACAGTCTCTCCCAGATCACAAAGCAGGCCAGGTCAGGTCACAGCCTCCAGGAGGCATTCAGCTCAGGATCCTATTACCCATTCCCTGCTCCTCTACCAGGGTAAGGAGAGTTCATTGAAGACCTCTGGGCCCACACATATACAAGCTACATCCCAGAGAGAACCACTGCCCATGAAGGCCTGCCACCTCCCATGATGGCCTTCTGTGGGGGCGGGGGTAATCTGAGCCAGGGGCTCTGGGGGCCCAGTGGGAAACTAGGCCAGAACAGATGGCCGGTGCTTCTTGTTACTTTTCCCATCCCTAGACATTTAGGGAGCACCACGCTCATCGTGAGTAATCCTGGGCAAAACAATTTGAGGCTTTGATGCTAAAAACTACAGATTCTAGGCCCCACTCAGACCTGCTAGAGTAGGGCACCTGGCTATAGTACCTAGGAATGTGTGATCTACACAATTCCAGGGGTGCAGGAGATACCTCAAAGTCTAAGAACTACCAACCCACATGCTGTTGAAGCCCTCAGGCAGGAAGTGCTAATGAGGAGGGAGTGGACGGGCCAGGCGGGTTTAATCAGCACCTTAGGTCCTTTACTTTCTACTTATTTTAACACCATATGTGCAGGTGTGACTGCCTTGCTGTAGTGAGCAAGACCAATCTGCCCCGCATGGTAGTGTCAACATCCTCATATGAGATGGTGCTGGATCAGAACAGAGCCCTGTAGACCGAAGGGAAAAGCAGGCTACAGAAGGCGCTACGATAGCTGTCAGTCACTCAGTCCATCTCCACACTCTACCGCAGGGGTGTTCAGAGCTTGCATTTTAGCACCAGATGACAAGTCCATTCCTATTCATACTCCCCCAAACCTCTACAAATCCATTCCCGTCCGTACTCCCGCAACCCTCCACAGAATCTCACTCGGTTGGAGGTGTGATGAGAAGAAAACTAAAGGGGACAAATACAAGTTGGGTGGGCACCACTAGGTTCCACGTGTTCTCATGTGCTCATAAATGCTCTCACTGGCCCACCCACATACCCAACTACTACGTATACATGGACCTTTCTACCCATCCATCCGTTCCATTCACCATGTATGCATCAACCCATCTACCCATTCATTATCCATCCATACACATATCCAAACATTTATCCATGCCTATGTTCATGCTTCCGTCCACTCTCCCATTTACCTATCCACCTCACTCAGTCATTCATCACCACTATGATACAATCAGATGAATGCCAGAAACTGACCCTGGAGCTCCCTCTCAGCTGTCTAGACAATAAGCTTTCTGGAAGAGACAGCACCAGGTTCAGACGTTACCCCTCCTCAGGGAGAACTGCTGCAATGTCCCAAAGACTCCTAGGGCCCTATATTCTGGGAATCCTGAATTCCTAGATGGCTTTCATCAACTGCTGGAACACTTGATTCCGACTACCTGGCACCAAGAAGTCTGTTTGTTCCCACATGCACAGGCCTCTTTCCTGGCATGAGAAGAGAGCATCCTGGGGAGGTGGGCCCTCCACTGTGGTGCAGATGCACAGCACAGGTTTGCACATCCTAGGTGTAACATACTGCTCTGCTCCGTGTGACGGGAGGGTGGGAGATTTGCCTCCTCTTACTGAGCACTGGCTTGGGGAAGCTGTCTCAGTAGAGCCTCTTCTTTGTTCCAAGTCATTTGAATGAATCAAAGCTTCATGAAGACGGTCCCAAACATGTTTGTGTGTGCTGTGGCATGCTTGAGATCCTGGCTCTGAGAGGGTCCCAAACATGTTTGTGTGTGCTGTTGCATGCCGGAGATCCTGGCTCTGAGAGGGTCACAAACATGTTTGTGTGTGCTGTTGCATGCCAGAGATTCTGGCTCTGAGAGGGTCACAAACATGTTTATGTGTGCTGTGGCATGCTTGAGATCCTGGCTCTGAGAGGGTCCCGAACATGGTTGTGTGTGCTGTTGCATGCTTGAGATCCTGGCTCTGAGAGGGTCCCAAACATGTTTGTGTGTGCTGTTGCATGCCGGAGACCCTTTGAGGTGGGGGCAAGGCTCTGAAACCGACCTCAGGGTCTGATACGACGGAGCAGGAGCTGCACATGCACGGACGGGGCTAGCACAGTGGTGAGCGGTGCTGCAGGCAGGCACATCGGCTGGGAAGAACAAAGTCTGGGTCTGAGCAGACTCTGTAAGGGTGGAGAAGGTGGGGAAGTGGGAACAGAGTGTGGCCTGGAGGCCGGACATTCCAGGAGAGAAGCTGAAGGGGAAGACAGAGCCACGGAGAAAATTCAAGCAGCTATAACACAGTGTGGTGGGAACAGACCCACAGGGTGGCAAGAACAAGAGAGTTAGGGCGTTGGCGGGCTCCTTGCCCTGGGGTGCCTGCTGTGGTGCCGACCTGCGGAACGCCCTGGTGTCTGTTCACTGATGTGAGCGTGCCAGAGTGAAGGAGGAATCCATGCAGAAGCTACAGACTGGACAGAGATAATGGAATGTTTTCTCTGAGTCTGTCAAATGCAAATGGACTAGACATTGTTTAGGTATTTATTGCTTGTATATATTGTATATAGTTACTGTACTTATTGTATATAGTTTTTCTTATATTAGTTATAACTTTTTTCCTTTTTTCTTTTTATCAGGATGAAAAGGGGAAATAAGGTGGTAATTTATTTGTGCTGAAATTTGATTTTATTTGTATGTTAATAAATAAAGTTGCCTGGAGATCAGAGGTCAAAGCGAGCCATAAGCAGAGTCAGGCAGTGGTAGTATATGCCCTTCATCCGATCACACGGCAGGCAGAGTCTCTGTGTGGTCAAGGACCCAGCCAAGCGTGGTGACATGAACCTTTAATCCCAGTACCAACCATAGAGACCTGGAGGTCTGTATAGACTGGCAGTGACAAGGAAGTCATGTGGTTGGGTTTAGAGCCAATGAAGAGGCAGAACAGAAAGGCAATAAAAAGACAAGTCAGACAGGAAGAAGCTCTCTCTCTGGGGAAGCTATTTCTGGTAGTAAGCTAAAGTTAGTCGTGGCTATTGCTCTGATCTCTTTGTCTATTTCCTCTGTATTTAGCTCTGTGTTTCTTATTTACTAAGACTGTTTAGAATTTTGTCGACAGGACAGGACTGGACAGACTGTTGACGAGACATACAGAGTTCCGTTGACAGGCAGGACTCAGTGAGGCCCCCTAGGGAGGGCACAGACTAGGGAGAAGTCTGGAGAACGGTCCAGTGTAGGAGGAAGACAGGGAAGCACGTGCACACTCTGGCAGACCTGCTAGGACCCTGCATAAAGTCACAGAGTGGCTATAGACGGTCTAATTAACCTCCTCTGTGACACTGAAAACAGACTGAGGCCAGCGAGAAACAAGACAAATGCGAGGATGGGAACCCAGGCTTCCTGATGTTCATTCAGCCCAAAGGTCTGTTCAGCTTGTGTTGTCTCCCAGGAGCCACAGAACCTTTCTCCCTGGTTCCCACTCACTCTCCAAGAATAGGGTCAAAGCCCTTGTGGTAAGTCATCTAAAGATCCAAGACAGAACTGAAAGGGGCCCACACCTTTAATCCCAGCTCTTGGGCGGCAAAGCAGGCAAATCTCTGAGTTCTAAGCCAGCCTGGTCTACATAAGGAATTTCAGGCCAGCCAGGGCTGCACAGTGAGGTAAACAGGGGCAAGTGTGGGAACAGTGTAGCATTTAGGAGAGCAAGAAAGGGTAACGTGCTATGAGATGTTCTGTATGGCAAATGTGTTGCTAATTAGTCAATAAATAAAACACTGATTGGCCATTGGTTAGGCAGGAAGTGTAGGCAGGACAAGGAGGAGAATAAAGCTGGGAAGTGGAAGGCTGAGTCAGAGAGACACTGCCAGCCGCCACGATGACAAACAGCATGTGAAGATGCCG